TAACTATTAGGGGGAGGTGAAGAGGGAACAGGGGGTTAAAGAAAGGGTATGGGGGGTAATGTACCAGGACTGGGAGAGGATGTTGGGGAGGAGTCGAAAGGATAATGGGTTAAGTCTTGTATTGCATATTTCTCTCCAAGGGTTCATTTTCCTAGAAGCAAGTATCCGACACACACAGTTTTATCTCAAGATTTGAACTAAAGAGGATTACATTAATCCCTAGTTCTACAACTAGAGATACCAGAGCTGGGAACTTTTAACTGGAGTAAATGTGTTTAACCCATTCTCTTCGGGTGGAGAGGACTTGTCTCACGTTGGGAAACTTAAAGCTTTAATTTTTTAATAATTAATTCCTTATTCCGGCTGACGTCTGGTAATAGTGCCCCCCTCCCTCTATTTCCTTGTTGTAAATTAAATCTATAACATTTGATTCTTTTTTGAAAGCTTTTTGGCTCTACTTCAAAAACCTGAAAAAAAATCCAAATATTTATAAGGAACTCAAGTTATTCAGCAAAAAGGGTACAACAAACTAAAATTTCGCGAAATATGACAAACTATTAATTTTTGAAAAGCCCCTTAACCCTGAGAATTCAAATATGCAAAAATATTTTCTAAATTTTCAAAACCTTAAGCGCAAATTTCCTTTATAGGTGTCTGTGCAAAAATCTTTGTAGTAGAAGGTCTAAACATAGATTTAGTCTGGTAAAGATAAAATAAGGCATTCTGAAAGTATGCCTTAGAACACAGGCAGTAGGTATAAAAGCCCGGATTTTACACTAAAGTGAGGGGCATGTATTATTAAGAAAACTGTTTGGATTATCGCAAAAAAAACGAAAGAAGGGTTCACGGCATCTTCCCCCCACCCCCTCAGTTGGAATTGGGTTAACTTATTTAGTTTATTCAAAAGTTTCCAGCTGATGGATGATGGATGATGGTTGCACTGCAAATGCAATAAAACCCAATAATACAATACTTTGATCTTCATTTGACATATGTGCATTCAAATATATCAGAGTTAAATTTGTTTTTTAATTTTTAAATTTTTAAATGAAGATCTTAAATATCCTTAAATACTCAGGAGAAATCATATTATTGTGATCGGCCTATCTCACTTACTGAAGAAAACTATTTTTGACTTCTTTAAGGCTGTCATTTTAAATTTAAAAGGTGTCTGTGAAAAAATCTTTAGTAAATTTTTGGCAAAAATTCCCCATTCTGCTTTCTTAAGAAAAGTCAATATGTTTGAAAAGACTCTCAGACCAATACATTTGTTTACTTATGTCCAAAGAAATTATCAAAATTTTGACCATGACATGACTAAAAGAGTATTCGTACGTTAACACACATTTGAATATTTTTTGTTTTAGGGGGGAGGTATTAAATTAGATATATATCGATAGATGCTTGATTAATTTGCCACCAAACTATGATTTTCTTAACCCTGTAATAATAATATATGTATCTTTTCAAGCCAATGTTGTAGACGTTATATATTTTAATATCTTAAAGGGGCCGTTCACTTACTTTGGTAATTTCAAGGTGAACTAAGCAGTAAGGTGTCCAATGATGACCAACTTTTAAAAATAGATGCGCGCGGTAGCTTTTCCCATTCCGATGTGTACAGTGAGCACCAACGAGGTTAAAGTGTATAGAGTGATGATGTACGCTAATCCTTTACAAATTGCATAGGCCATGAACTATACCGAGAACGCATTGCATATTTGTTTGTAATAAGTTGATTCTGGCCTAACCTATAGTATATTAATATTAGTAAACAGTTGAAAGTGTACAATACAACTAACTGAGCACACAGGTAGAGAACCCTGGTGAGCACTAATCTAAAGTTTTAGCTCAATATTTCTAAAACTCAAGGATAGACTCGCTGCTGAAGTTTGAAAAAGACCTACACAGCTCAAAAATATTTTTTTCTTTGATTTATCATGTCACATATCATTTTCTTCGTAATTGACCGGAAAAATAAATTCCGTTGAAATTTTTATATTAAAAAACATTGCATCTCAACATTTTTTAAGCTCTTCGGAAAGCCTATAACGAAAGCACATTTTTGCATTTTTGAAATTTGCACATTTTCAGTTTATCTTGAATGCACATTTAGGCTTTAGAAATTTTGCAAATGTTTTTGCAAATTTGAATTTGCTACGCCAAGGGCTTTTCAAAACGAATGATTTGTTGAAATTTGCGATTTTTTTGCACATTTTTGCTTAGTAACTTGATTTCGTAAATAATATTTGGATTTTTTGCAAATTTTGGCAGATTATTGAGAGAGCCCTAGGGCTTTCAAAAAAGGTTTCAAATGTTTTAGATTTGTATCACAATAAGAAAAAAGGGTGGTAAAATACACGACCGGAGTTTTAAAACTATCTAAATCAAGTTTGTTTTTTTCTAAATTCAAGGGTTTACACTGTCCGCCACACGATCTACACTTCCTACCTTTGCCCCCCCCAATCAATCAATTGTCTAATTTGTTTTCAACTACCGTAAGCCTTAACCCATTTATGTTTTTATTTAAATTCATGGGCGCAATGCGCGAAGCTTTGTATTTTCATGCCGCGTTCTATTCAGCTTTTTTACAGAAGCAACACAATCTGTAATGTGCTAAAAAAGTGTTGCTTTCGAAATGGAAAGTTAAAAAAAAAAATTTGAAAAAATTAGACATTTACAATTAACTATTAGATATTACAGTTTAATTCTATATTTGAAATTTTTTATAAATCCATGACATCCAATAGTGTCTATAGCAAAGGTACCTTTGCGCTGAAATTCTGAACAAGAAGCGGCTTTTTTCCAGCCATGGATGTCTTTAATAGTAAGATAAATACCAATTAATAGCTAATAAGCTATTTACCTACCCTGAAATTACCCGAATTAGTGAATAGTCCCTTTAAAGATCAAATAATCTAAGTTAGAAATATTAAAGATTTTACACCCTTAGGTTGCAAAGATATCTGGATAAGAAGAGTAGAGCTTGTGGATAAGACCTAATTCCTTTTTTGACAATCATTAATTTATAAATTCTTTCTTCTTATAGATGAAAGGAAGAAATTTTATTCAACAATGATTTTAAAGCAAACCTCTATCTTAGAATGTATAGAACTATTTTTAGTATTTAATAGACCTTGGCTCGAGTGCTCTTTTATTTCATTTAATTATAAAAATTACTCACCTGAGGCTGTTAAACGATTCGTAATAATGTTTCACACTTCTTTACTGTAGACAATGGCGTATTCAGGGGGGGGGGCAGTGCCCCCCTAGACCTGTGAAGGCCCCCAGAACTCAGAGCTATCACACTTTTCAAATCTTAAACTGAAGAGCGAAGACTGAAGAACAGGACAAAAATAGTTTATAATCCCCCCACCACAAAAAAATACATATTATTTCAGTGTTGAAACCTAATTTTCCCTTTTAAGTTTACAGAGTTTTGTTTGAAGATGAGATAAAGTATTACTTAAGTAAGCAATTGCAAGGTGATTGGACTGTATGTGTGCTTTTACAGTATCTTATACATGTGCGACTTTGGCCTGATATCCAAGAAGCTAAATGTTCTGAATTTACCGTTCAAACTTTGCCCCCACCCCTCCTAGGAGCTCCAAGGGGGGGGGGGNGCAAAGGAATAAATCTTAGACTCTATAAGGATAGTAACACCCAAAAATGTAGTCTTTTTGGTGTATTTTTATGGTGTTAATTAACTTTTTGATCAAAACAATTCCCGGGGGGGGGGGGCAGAAATTTTTTTTTTGCATCGCGCAAATTTTGGACCCCCCCAGGATTTAATTCTGTAAACGCACTTGACTGTAGATCTTTAAGTATCAGTGAAAAGAATATACATATTTATAGGTTATATAAAAATATATCTAGGTTGTATAAGATATATCTAGATATATCTATGTATATCTAGGTTGTATAAAGATATATCTAGATATATCTAGGTTGTATGAAGATATATCTAGATATATCTAGGTTTATAAAGATATATCTAGATATATCTAGGTTGTATAAAGAGTATACTCTAGATATATCTAGGTTGTATAAATAGTATACTTCAGGTCAAACAACTGATAGAATCCATTAAAGCTAGGGCAACTTTAATCCAACCAATTACTTTAACTTTACCCAGACACCATGGATTTATCAGGGGGGGAGGGGAGAAGGTTTTAGTGTTTTAGCTGGAAAAAAAATAAGAAACGTTGTATATCAGGTGTAAAAAAATAAAAAAATATTGTATCAGGTGGAAAAAAATAAGAAATTAGTTATATTAGCAGGAAAAAAATTGTGAATAACAGAAGGGAAAAAATAAAAAATATTTTATATCAGGTGGAAAAAAATAAAAAATATTGTATATCAGGTGGAAAAAATAAAAAATATTGTACATCAGGTGGAAAAAAATAAGAAATTAGTTATTTCACCAGGAAAAAAATTGTGAATAACAAACGGGAAAAAATAGGAAATATTGTATATAAGGTGAAAACAAAATAGGAAATATTGTATATAAGGTAAAAACAAAATAGGAAATATTGTATATCAGATCAGGTGAAAACAAAATAGGAAATATTGTATATCAGATCAGGTGAAAACAAAATAAGAAATATTGTATATCAGGAGAAAAAAATAAGAAGTTATGAATATCAGAACTTTCAGAAGGGAAAAATAAGAAGTTGTTAGTATTAGAAGGGAAAAATAAGAAATTGTGTATACCAGGTGGAAAAAAATGAAATTTAGTATATCAGAAGGGAAACAGAAATATTCTGTTTATTATTTATCATTTCCAAATCAAAGTACTGAAGTAGTCCTTCTGTCGAGTTTGCAATGATTAATGATTAAGAATTGGTTATTTCCTTCATAACATTAGCTGTCTTCAGGAGAAAAATGAACCTTTTCATGACTTTTGAAAAATTTCTCTCTCATTGTCTGTGAAGTTGAACCCAAGGTGTGAGTTTGCTTTTGGTTTAAATTAAGATTTCATTCAATATACGAAAAATATTCACTTCAACAATACTAAAAATAAATTCAGAATGAAAGAATTCGACAAAATATAAAAATAAAAATAAAGTTTAAAAGAACCTGTTTTTCTAAGCGGAAAATTTATTCTTTTAAATGTCAAAGATTTTTTTAAAACTTCAAAAATTTTCGTTCTGTAGTTTTAGGATGCAAAAAAAAACTTTGTGTGTATCTTGAAGCAACATCAATGAAAAAATAATTTAAGTAAATTTATATTTTTTCTGAATAAGTTTTTTGACGGAGATATGTCTAAGCTATAATGGTACAATTAGAAGAGAAACTATCTGATATGATCCTTCTATATATATGATAATTAATAAAAACTTTTTAAGCATACAAATTGTTTAAGTTTCTAATCATGAGAAGAAGAATTATAAATTACAAAATATGTAAGATTTTTGTCAATATAAACTCTTTAAAGAGTCAAATGGAAAAGTAAGTAACAATTTCTACAAACTATAATTGTTTTTTTTGCAACCTTATGTAGTACTATGAATTCTGCTTTATCATATTCATATAATAAACGATCAAAATCAAACAAAATATAAAGGGTTTAAGAAAGTAGATTTAAAAAAAAATTAATATGAAATCAGATTGAATAATAACCCTTTTTCTTAACCTAGCTCTCTCTTTTGTGGAATAAAAACCCAGTTTACATTTTTTCGTAAAACTGATTGCAGGTAAACATTAACTCGGCATACTTTGTTGAAACTGATTTAGTTCAGATAAATATACAGAGAAGACATGTGACAAGTTCCTCCATCCAATCCAACTTCTCTCCACGTGGCTGCTTTGAACCAGCTAAAACCGGTTCCTGTCCCTCCCGGCGCTTCACTAGTCATGTTTTTCGCAGCTGTAGGTTTTCAGGTAGAACAGAGTCAGGGTATTCAAGGCAATATAAAATTGCTTCCTGGTCCTATTGTTTATAATTCAATTCAACCGGTTTTAAAATAAACTTTCAAGTTTTATATTTTCAATTTGGCACTCTTGCAATAAAATAAATGCTTTTTGAATTGAAAGCTAAAGTTTAGATTGCAATATTGAGTTATTTTAAAAGTGAAAAGGGTTCAGTGTGTGAATTTGAACTGATAAAGTTTCCATTTTTCTAAAATGATATTTCTCATTTTCCTTTTCTAAAATAAAATATTTAAATCGTACTATTTACCAGAGAAAAATGTTACAATTTTAAAATAATTAAAATAAACAATCGATTTTTTTTTACATAATTTTTAAAAAGAACTAAATTGTGTGTTTTACTTAAGTAACAATTTTTTGAACCAACAATTATAAAAATCAAGCCATCTCTCAGAACAAAAATAATTAAATAGAACGATCATTGAGTATAAGATCAAAATAGATGGAAAATGAACAATAAATCTGAAAACAAAATATTCAAATTTTTTCTGAGCACAAAACAAACACAAAATGGACAATTAACGAACGTTGAATAAACAAATCGATTGCGTCCATCTCTATTTGTAACCAAATTCTGTTTATAAGTATTTTTACCATGTGAGACCATGTTTTCCTTATGACCACAATTAATATACTTTCTGTAATAATGGAAAAACAGAACAGGCTCAAAGTTTTTAATGTTGGTTTTTATCATTTGTCCTATTCATTCATTTCCTTAGAGATATTCTAAGGGATGTTGAGACGAATAGAAACCCATGGGAAAGTAACATTTTCATGGGAATTCAATTTTCTAAAAATATGATTGATTGATTAAATTATTCCTTTGTACTGAGGAGTCTGGTTCCCAGGATAGTTTGTTTAAACTCTGCTGGTGTCAGGGTTAGATATCTCACAAGATACATCAGATCCTGGAATACAAGGGTTATCAGAGGTCAAATTTAAAGACTTTGATCCGCGGCTCAAATATGAGACGGGTTTCAAACATGAAATTGTATTCATTGTTTCAAGATTTGATCCGGCGCTCAATTTGGGATGTGGTTTTTGGTGGATCTTTGAATTTGGCCTCAAGAAACTATTCAAATAAATTGAGTCTTTGCCATAAACTCTAGATTTCTAAATCCTTTACCTTTGAAACCAGAACAGAGTTCATAGTTAAACATATTTAGTTAAACATTGGATTGCAAAACTATATGAATTAGTAAAATCGGAGTTTGTGGCACAGAATTAATTTCTTTAAGAAACAAATGCAAACCATTCAATATTCAGAAACAAGTGCAAACCATCCAATATTATAGGAATTAAGTACAGTCCATATATATTTTGTTTTAGTGACAATCATACAAACTTTTGTAAAAAAAATCCAAGCTCTTATGAAACAATTCAATACCATATCAATTTTAGGGAACAGTTTATTCAACTGTTTGAATCTCTCTTCATCACGAGGAGAGACATTCATTATGTTTATTTCTCTAGCTTTTAAAATTCTATTTATGGTTTCAGCATTGTATAAAAGAAACCTGATCCAAGACTGTTTCTTCTTTATTTTGACTCCAGTAGGTCAGACCCTTGAACACCTCAATCTCACTCCGCACCTTTTAAAAGACTGTTCAATAATTTGTAATGTACATGGCAAAAACAATTTAAATTTTAAAGAAATTGAGCCTCGCCCACAAACTCTGATTTTCTAATTCTTATATTTTTGCAATCAGGCTTCGTAAACTTTAGATATTTGAAATTATTAATTATGTTAGCTTAATATATAGTCTAAGTTTGAAATACAGCACCAGGAAGCAAAAATATAGTGCTTAGAAAATATGATTTTGTGGCAAAAGCTCAGTTACCCATGAAACATTTTTTCTTGGAAGAAATATATATTTAAACATCTAAAATGTATATTTAAACTGAAAAAAGTTGAAAATACTATATAAATATATAAAAGGGGAGTTTTTTAATTAAAAAATGGTGAAAGGTTTTTTTTTGATTAAACAATAGTAAAAGGGTTTATTAATTTAACAATGGTGAAAGGGGGGTTTGAGCAATAATTAAAAATATTTTTCACGTTTTATTTATGGTCTAAAAATGTGAACTGTAAAAATTTGGATGTTGATTAAACCCTAATGCCCCCCACTGATATTTATATAAAAGTATTTTATTCCAATACATTAATAACCTTCATTAAATATTTTGTGTCAAGAGTGTTTATATTAATTAGGTTAATGCATAAAATACATATATATACAACTATGTAATATGAATATCCATAAAAGCAGGAATTATTTGATTAATATTTTCAATTACGAGCAGTTTTAGCAATAGGTCTTTTTTATCATAATACTGCTTTTTTTATAGGATTGTTACAACGTGTGGAGGGTATAAGCTGTATTTTTCCTAATAGAATAAGCAATTGATTTTTACAATTTGCCTCAGGCCTGAAAGCCTTATATGTGGGCAATATAGTTACAGGGTTACCCACAAAGAATATGATTTCTGAGACGACTGTACGGAATCCTTCCAGCTTTTTTCTTAAATGGATGGTTCCCTATCAGTTGAGTTCAATGGTTGTATGATCCGACTCAGTACAAGGATACCAGTATATTGTTTATTTGTACCAGCCCGTCTAGTGTACCCAGTATGTGACTGACCCAGCGTTTTTTCTTCAACAATAGTGGGTAAGCAGATCCATCCACGGTGCTGTAGCTTAGAAAAATCATTTACAACAACTTGAAAAGACCATTTTAAAAAGTAATGACAAGAAATAACCTTCAGATTTTCAGAATAAAGGAGTTTAAGTTGCATTCCTTGTGAGTAACCCGAGCTGTAAATGTATGTTACCTGAAGTGTATTCCTTCCAAGAATTGTTTTTATTATTTCTTTGTCTAGAGTTGTAAACAGCTGAGTTTTACTCACAGATCTGTTATAATCTACTTTTTATACATAATGCATTTAATTCAACATTTTCTGTGGTAATCCTAACCCAAAGTACTGTGTGATGAATGTCGTCAGCGTTTTTTTTTTATTAAATTGCAAAGCTTAACTAGAAATATTTCTAATTGGGTATTCCTTGAAAAAGCCAGTGCATAAATTTACAAAGGAATTGAGATTTTGTCAAGTTTTCTAATCGCTATAGCTTTTCAACCTGATGGTGTAAACCATCATTTTTAAGTTTAAATTATTTGATGAGATAGGATTTATAGATTGAAATATTTAAGGTCTACTGCATTGGGTTGCAAAGATAAAGTAATTAGAACATTAGAGTTGGTGGCGATCTGTTTAGTTTCTTAAAATAAAGACAAACATTCGAATTGTTGCCTCTCTTTATTTTTTAATGTTAGAGGGGGGGGGGGGGAATAAGTTCTAAATAATTTCCATTAAAAGTGAGTTTCCTGAAGTTTTTATCTATAAAGTCCAAGCAGAAGTTTCTAAGGTTTTCACAGCACTCTGTCCCAAGTCTGTTTAATGTCTGAGATTTTGTCAGTTTTTTCTTGAGTAATAAGTTGACACGGTTTCTATTTTTCTCAGAGCTCTTCAATAACATGGCCTTTGTGTGTGAGTACTTCCTGGTCGGAGAACTAAAGGATGTTTCTGATTTGATATCTAGTATTTTTAACTCAGGGTTAAATATTTTAGTCTCCAGGTCTTGTTTTTCCAAATCATTAATCCCAACATCTGTGTTTATAATTTGACCTCTTTTGGGTCTCTTCTAAAAACATAAATTAGCCATTTAATAACAAATATTGAAAAAAAAAAAAAATATTAATTACTGAAACGATTCAATATTTTTTTTATATTTTTTTGGCATAATATTGTGTTTCTGATTTTTTTGCTGCAGGTACATAATTCATTTTTTATTTTTTAAAAATTATTTTGGTGAAAATTATTGTAAATGTCTAGTTTAGGAACATTTTTTGGCCATTTGTTCCTGAAAACTGTTGTTTATTCTATTATCATCAATGTCCACAATATTTTCACTGATTAGAAAAAAGAAAACTGTTTGAGCTTATTTTCTACAAGAGAGTGCAGCTGCCTCCAAGAAAAATGAGATTTGGCTAAATTTCAAAATTTTCTATTCCCTGTATCTTTTTAACCTGATCTGAAAACTTTAGAATGGGATATCCTTAATCCCGATCGGTTAAATAATCTGAGCTGGGAACTTTAGAATGGTGGATATCGGGATTAATGCTTGATCCACTCTTTTTTAATCTCCAGATTAAATAAATGCTTGTTCTTCTCCTTTCATTAATCTCGATTAATAACAAGAGGAGAACAAGCATTTATTTAATCTCGAGATTAAGAAAAAGAGTGGATCAAGCATATATCCCGATATCCACCATTCAAAAGTTCCCAGCTCTGATTGCATAAACCTTTTTTGTTTTAAACTTATTACTTACTTACTATTGACAAAATTTAGAGATACGGGGATTAGAAAAAAAATGTGCGGTACTTTGTTCTTTTCATGAGGAATCAAATTAAACATATTTGGGTTTTACTTAAAGGTGTAAACCTGTCCTCTTCATGTTTTTTTGAACTTGTTTAAAGAGACTGTAGTCGAAATTTGAATTAAAATTTAAAATTTAAATTTAAATTTACAACTGCACTATTCAAATTAATTTCTATGAGATTTATAATGATAAAGATATTGGGGTTCCTACAAAAGTGCTGTATTCTGTAAGGTTCCTTTATTTTCTGAAAGCATGAAACCACAATTTTAGAAATCAATTTTGCTTTGAACAAAAAAGGATTTTTAATTCATCCTTGATCAAATAAAGGCTTAAATTGCACATTTGTGAATCTCATAAACCGCTATATGAATGGAGGGTTACTTGAAACTATGTCTGTAGACCCTATAAATCAAATTCAAAATATCTTTTTTAAGTGAAAATATATAATTTATAATAGTTTTCTTCCCTAAACTGAAATGCTTTGTTGTAGGTTATATTTGGTCGAATGGGAGAAACTTTGTCATCAAGAGGCGCGAAGTCGACATGAAATTGCGAAGTATTGAGTTGTCGGGATAGAGAGTTTTGTCTAAAAGCCGAGGAACTGAGATTAGGAGGAAAGGAATTAAGATGGTTTGGCGAATACTTGATCTGGTGGGGAGAGGTTTTTAGATGACAATGGGAAGATGTTATGTGGTTGGGCGAATAGGTTACTAAACTACTATGATTAGGCGTTTTATTTATATATTTTGATGATAAATGATGAGTATGAGAAGATTGATGATGTATCTGAGTAAATGAATCAGGATCATAAGTAGGCGTGGTTCGCTTTGAACGAAGATGTTTCTGTCCTTTCTTGATAACTTGTTCTCCTGGTACCTGAAAAATAAAATGAAACAGATCTTTAATAAAGATTTAAACTCGTCCATACAGGCGCTACACGTCAAACTAAAGTAAAAATTTGTATTATGATTCCTCTTATTGAACAGCTATTAAAAACATCAAATGTTTTGAATTTACAATTTGTAATCAAATAAATTAGCTTTTTTTACAATTGTGCGTAAAATCAAAACTAGATAAGCAACGCAGTTGCAAAGTTGTAACAGTAATATCAATTGAATTCGACCATTTCCTCCTTGTAAGTTTTCAGTAGCTATGGCTGGCTAAGTTCCATTAAGGTTAGAAAACTCGTAACGTTCCTTCTTTTTTTCTGCTTAAAGGGACAGTAAAGGAAAAATGAAAGGGGGTATAGGCTGAAAGCTAATAACTTTAGCTCTCGATCGCGGCACCATGAAAGTTATCTCTGATGTTCCTATTTCGAAAAATTGATATACAACTGTGTCCAATTTATACGAAAATTAATAAATATACAATTTTGTATAAAAGTAGTGGGTTTAAAAAGATCAAATTCAGCAAATAAGCAACCAATCTGAAAACGATGATATCCCAGAGAAAGCTAATTGTAACTTAGGTTTACTCCAATTCTAATCTTATTTTTGTTATTTCTATTTTTAATAGATTTAATTTATAATATGATTTACACGTCCGTATTACTTGACCAGAAATTCGACCAATGACAGTGCAGTAAAGTGGTCACGTGATACAGGAAGAGACACGTGATCAGTATACTGCTCTGCCATTGGTGATAGTTCTGGTCACGTGATTTAAGTTTAAGATTTTCTAAATTTTACGTATATGAACTTTCGTATAATTTTAACACAGTTTTATATCAATTTCTCGAGACAGGAACATCAGATAAAACTTTCATGGGTCGCGATCAAGAGCTAAAGTGATTAGCTTTCAGCCTATACCCCCTTTAATTTTTCCTTTACAGTCTCTTTAAAATTGCATTTTCATGTTCAGAAAATATATATTTAGTCGGCTGGGTAAAAACGTAAATACATATCTAATCAGCTGGGTAAAAACGTAAATATATATCAGGTCAGCTGGGTTTAAAGTTAAATATATATTCGATCAGATGGGTTAAAACGTAAATATATATTCAGTCTGCTGGGTGAAAACGTAGATTTATATCAGGTAAGCTGGGTAAAAACGTAAATAAATATATATCATGTCAGCTAGGTAAAAACGTAGATATATATCAGGTCAGCTGGGTTTAAAGGTAAATATATATTCAGTCAGCTGGGTAAAAACGTAAATACACTTCAGTCAGCTGGGTAAAAACGTAATATCAGGTCAGCTGGGTAAAAAGTAAAAATGTAAATTAATATCCATGTTAAGCAAACTTAAATATATATCCGGTCAGCTGGGTGAAAACGTAAAAATGTATTCAGTCACCTGGGTAAAAATGTGAATATATATCAGGTCAGCTGGGTAGAAATAATAATTAAATATATATCCGAATAGCTGGGTAAAAATATAATTAAATATATATCCGAATAGCTGGGTAAAAATATAATTAAATATATATCTAAATAGCTGGGTAAAAATATAAATAAAATATATATCCGGTCAGTTGGGTAAAAACGTAAACCAGATAAGCAGGATAAAACGTAAATAAATATCTAAAAAGATTGTTGAAAGAGGGTGAATTTGATGGAGTTTTATATTTGATGAATATTCAGTAAAGTTTGGGGGGACGGGGGGGGGACACTTTCAGACATTTTTGTCTGCAAAAACTTTAACAATTTACCTACAAACACTACAGAAGCAAAATAACAATAAAGTAAAGGGAGGATTGGGAAGGGGGAGGGGCGACGAAGATTGATACCCTTAAAAAAAGAATTTAAAAAATAAATTTCCACGTTAGTTTAGTTAAAAATCAGGTTATTTGGCCTTTAATAACCTACTATCTATACATTGTTTTAATTATTTACCTTTTTTGGTTTATGTTGTGGACAAAACTTATGAATATGTTTTAAAATACGAAGAATAGTTTCAACATTGCTGGAAGTATCACTGTGGGAGTTTGGTTCACTTTGTTCACTCACAGAGTTTATACTGAGCAATGGGATATTTTGAGAATCTGGTCCACTGTGTTCTGTTTCATCACTATCGCTTTGCCCACTGTGCACTTTTCCTTCATGGATGTTTTTAGAGCTAAGCAGTACGCGCCTTTTCGGTTGGACACATAGAGTTCTTGATTCTAGATTGATCTGATTGCGGAGAATCATGTTTACATCCTCGCACATCTTCTCTAATGAATACTGATGACCTGAAATATATGCAATATCAATATCTCTACACTAGATTGATCTGATTGCGGAGAATCATGTTTACATCCTCGCACATCTACTCTAATGAATACTGATGACCTAAAATATATGCAACATCAATATCTCTACATTAAAAGTTCTAATCTCTGTTTGTCCGATTATAACTCAGGAACCCCATGAACGATTTGTCTTGAACTTTGATTAGGGAACTAGGGAGAACTACGGTATGTTCTTAGATTCGAAGTTAAGTGGGTCGACTTTAATGGCGAACACTTAGTTAACCGATAAAATCGTTCAAGTGCGGGTAAACGGCGGGAGTAACTTCTAGTAACCTTGGCTGCGCTTGGTTCCCAAGCTATAGTATTTTTTTAAAATCTCTGTTTTGGTGTTTTTTGATATTTCCGACTGTAAGTTGTGAACCCCTTGACCGATTTCCCTCAAATTTTGATCGAGGAACTCAAAAGTACCACGGGAATGTTTTTGAGTATTTAAGTTGAGCAAGTGGGTTCACTTTTATAGGGAAAAATAGGTATGCAGAATATATATACATAATATTTATATGTTAGATAAAGCTGGCCAAACGGCTGGACCGAATAGGCTGAACTTTTTTGAGAGAACCCATCGGTGCCCGGGGAGTAACAAAGGCTAAAAATAAAAATAAAAACAAAATATATATTTTTTTTAAATTCCACAGGCAAAGCCGGGTATTTCAGCTAGTATCATATATAACTCACATAGTTGAAAGAATACATTTATTGACACCCACCGCATGCAGAAAGGAAAAGAAAATTTCAAATAAAATATCTCAGAGCGTTGAATAGAATCAATATTCTTGTGACATTTACAATAAATTCTGTAGAAACTATCCGCAAACTGAATGCACAAGAAATTACTTAGAGCAAAAAATCCGCAAAAAGTTGATTAGTTTTCAGATCAGCTGGGATCGATATCGGGAGTAGGATAGACAGTTATATAGGAACACTCCAGAAACAAAGAAAATGAAAAATAAAAATAAAGGGACTGTAAGTGTAATTTCAAGTGATCCTCCGGCCTCCCTACATCGGGGGCAATGTCCGATTTACAACGGTACCAGCTTGAAACCTTTGACTGTTCATCGAGCAGAGAAATCATTCTATTGAAGCATATCGAAACCCGCTCGAATTCATTTCTCTAAAGCGTAATTGTATGTTGTCGTAACTCGAAAGTAGATCCACTGTTTTACGTTAACATCGTTTTCAAACATTCAAACGTTAATGTTCTTCTACTTTTAGAAACAAACAAATTGTGTAGCAATTAAAAATGTTTCAGTAGATTAATACGGATATGCTGCAACATCCTTGATCAGTCCAAGGTTTAAAGGGTACCCTAGTAAATCAGAGATACTCCTCTTGAAAGGAAAGTACACTTGAAATTAAGCTCACAGTCCCTTTATTCCAACCAATGAAATCAATTGAAAGGACTGTCCGCCTGGTGCTATTTAAAGAGTGTCAGGAATCATTCAAAATGTTGGAAATGTTTGAAACTGAAATTACACATATTGACTTTGGAGGAGTATGTGGAAAAATGTATTCAAACAAAAAATAGGGGAAGGGGTCCCGTTTGGACTATGGGCTTTCATAAATGCACAATTTATCGTACTTCTTGGTCGAACACGGATTTAACAATCAAGGAAGAAAATTAGTTTTTGTCACAAATCCTGGTGTTTTTTCTATGTATATATTTGCAACCCAATGTCGAAGTTCTTTATTATTTCAAACTATGAATTTTGTTAAATCAAGTAATAAAAGTCTAAAATATTAAAGGTTTACACCATCAGTTTACAAAGATATTTTTTTTAAAAAACTTATTTCTTCTGCATTTTTTTTTTTAATATCACTGAAGTGCTTTCCAAAAACGTTTAAATCGTTATTAATTAGTATCTAAATTTTACAAATGGGTAATAGAAGGAGGGAGAGTCTCCCGACCCCCCCCCCCCGTCCAGGGTATTTTGGCTACGGATACGTGAGTATGGTTAACAACTTATTTGTTAAATATTCATACAGTTTTTTACTCAATAGCGTTAACAAGATTAATTGTTGGGGAGGGGGGGGGGGGCAATCCCATTAAATGGAGTATAACGTCTGATATATAAATGGAATAGTGTGTGTTTGCGGTGAGGAGAAGGGGGGGGGAGAGTAGAGGAAGGGGTGAAATGAATTTTTTATATTCAGCCAATTTGATATTAATGGTTTCCCATATTTTTGATAAATAGGACAAATAGCAATATCATGGTAAATTGCAGAAGTATATAGATCTGGTAATTTACAAAAATTTTGTAACTATTTTCTTTAGATCCATAATTTATTGATTGTCAAAAGATATCTGTGATAATTTTCTTTTGTTATAGAGATTCATTGTAAACCACGTAGATTTTCCAATTTGAGAAGTTAAAATATGGAGTTAAAAAATTTTTTGCGGAATTTTTTTTTAGATTGAGAATTTATAGAAATTAACCCTATCTCTGCTGGGGTACTTGAAAACCAAGATATGCTTGGGGGGGGGGTCAATTCCACCCCCCCCTCTAAATCCCATGTTTGATGTCCAAATATGACAAATGATACAACATTGGAAAGCTCTTGAGCTCTACTTTTGGAATCTGCAAAAAAATTGCAAATTTGCAAAAATTGAATTTTTTATCGCAAAATCCAGTTATGTAGTAAAAATGTTTGCAAAAAAAAAGTTCTCCAAAAAATTAAAAATTATACATTTTTGAAAAGCCCTTGACCATGCCATTTTAAATATGCAAAAATTTTTGCAAAATTTTAAATAACCTGATTTTTAATTAAGAAAAACTAAAAATGTGCAAATTTCCTTTGACAGGTTGTTTGCAAAAAAATTGCAATTTTTTTCGCAAAACTTGTGCAATTCGTTTCCTTATGTCAAAGGCTTTCCAAAAAGCTAAATTTTATCAAAATCTGACAAGTGGAAGTGGGTCAAAACAAAGATTTAGTTTGTTACAAGAAAAAGCAGTCATTCAGGCAGTGTGCCTGAGGACTCAGGCAGTTAGTATTAAAGCCCGGTTTTAGGCCTAAAGGGAGGGCTTTGGGTATGTAAGAAAAGTCAGAAAATTTCAACAGCCTCAGACCAATACTTTTTAAGTTATGTAAAAAAAAAACTACAGGGGGGGGTCAAATTATAATATAATATATATATATAAATATATATAATATATATATTATATATATATATAATATATATATAACCAGCTTTGCACGCATTTCGATACAAGCACAGAGTAATCCCTTACATTAATTATTATCAAATGAATTAGGAGACACTGCAGATTTACCTACGCAAAGCAGGGCCAACGCCTCAGACACATTTTCCAGTTCATAGTCTTCTCTTTTCCAGTACCTGGGCAAATATTATACATTGAAAAATATTTATCTTTATTTTTGACAAACATTAACATATGACACTGTTCCTTCGTTTTTCAACTAACTAGTACAACTGTTCTTTTGTCTTCCAATTATCTATAGTTTATTCCTTTGTGTTACTTTCTAGTTAAAACTATTCCTTTGTGTTCCAATTATCTACTTAAAACTATTCCTTAATGTTCCAATTACCTTGTTAAAATTATTCCTCTGTTCTTCAACTACCTCATTAAAACTATTCCTTTGTGTTTTAATTATCTAGTTAAAACTATTCCTTTGTGTTCCAATTATCTAGTTAAAACTATTCCTTTGTGTTACAATTACCTTGTTAAAACTATTCCTTTGTGTTCCAATTATCTAGTTAAAACTATTCCTTTGTGTTACAATTATTTAGTTAAAACTATTCCTTTGTGTTACAATTACCGAATTATAACTATTCCTTTGTGTTCCAATTATCTAGTTTAAACTGTTCCTTTGTGTTCCAATTACCTTGTTAAAACAGAATTGTGAAGAGTTTGCGAAACAGAACATTTCTTGCATTTTATATCAGACATTTTCCTTAGACAAGGATTAACATATTATTTAATGCTAATGGTATTTAGGTGGATTCAATTAAATTCAAGATTTAAAAAGATTTTCTTTTAAAATTATGAGATTATTAAAATATTTAAAAGGACTGTTCGCTGTATATACAAATAAACAAGATTCTCTAATCGAAAACTATAAGATGTCTAAAAATATGATTGTCATATTTCAAACTTTTTTTTAATTACTAGATATGACAGAATTGATATTTGAAATATCAAAGCTCTAATACGTTAGGTTGCAAAGATATTAGGATTGGAAAAACCAAGTTACATGAAACCATTAGTGCTCTAAATCCAATTGTCTACATTTATAGTTTAAGTTGTTTTCACTACAAGTTTGCCTTTTTGGATTAGTCATCGTAGCTTATAAATATTTAAATCGGAGAGGCGAATATGATCTTCAAAACTGTGTTTGATAAAAACACGATGGCTATTTGATTGACTATTTTTACCTTTAGAAACAACTCGATGATCGAGAAATACATGATAAATCGGTGAATTTCTTTAAAAGTAACATTGTTTTAGGCTTAGGTTGTTCATAATTTTGAAAAGAATTATAATTATGTTTTTTTTAAGATCGGTGAACAATTTTTTTTTTTGTGTTAAGAACATTTAATAAATAATAAAAATAAATATGATATAGAGTTATAAAACCCAGTAATTGATGCTTGAACCACACATCTGAACCAAATTTGTTTTTTTTAGGACATTAAAACTAAAATGAAAATTAATATCTAATGGTACAATGTGTTTTGCAAATATTTTTCAGGTCTTCCAAGTTATTAATAATATAATGCCGAGTCTAAGTTTTTAACTTTCTTGGAAATCACAACTTTCAGTTTAAAAGGAAATGAGCCTTTGCCGCAAACTTAAATAAATTAGTTTGAAAGTTTACGCCATCAGGTTGCAAAGATATAAAGATTAGACAATTGAAACTCATGTCTTATACGATCTAGATTTTTTAAATTCCGTAATCCGTCTTGTTATGTAACTTCAAAATCTTTAAAAAACATTAAACGTGGATGTGATTTGCTTCGAAAACCATCAAATTTCAAATGTTTATGTTACAAGGAATTAATTTATAATTTTTATAGAGCATCACCCATTAATTATTTTTCAGAGGAACATAATGGAATTCTTTTCAGGGTATCGTTTCTGTCTTTCTCTAAATGAAATGTCTCTTGTAATTATGTCTACAATTCCTTTAGGAGGATTTATTGTGAGTAATCCGAATAAAAGAAAATGTGTTGCGTCGTAATCTGTGATTCCTCGAGACGGGCCCGTGATACCGGTCTCCTGAGATATCCACGAACAACTGGTGGAGAATTCAACCTCCGAAGTCCAAAAGTTTCCCCGTTTCTAGTTTCCAGTTTCTAGTTTGTAGTTCCTATCTCCTAGTTCCTAGTTCCTAATTTCTAGTTCCTAGTTTCTAGTTCCTAGTTTCTAGTTCCTAGTTTCTAGTTTCTAGTTTCTAGTTTCTAGTTTCTAGTTCCTAGTTTCTAGTTCCTAGTTTCTATTTCCTAGTTTCTAGTTTCTAGTTCCTGGTTCCTAGTTTCTGGTTTCTAGTTCCTGGTTTCTAGTTCCTAGTTTCTAGTTCCTAGTTTCTAGTTCCTAGTTTCTAGTTCCTAGTTTCTAGTTCCTAGTTTCTAGTTTCTAGTTCTTAGTTAATAATTCATAGTCTACAGATCCTAGTTCTTAGTTCTTATGTTCTGGTTTCTGGTTTCCAGTTTCTAGTTTCTAGTTCCTAGTTCCTAGTTCCTAGTTCCTAGTTTCTAATTTCTATTTCCAAGTTCCCGTTTCCTATTTCCTACTTCCTTGTTCCTATAAGTTTCTAGTGTCTAAATTCCAATTTAGAAATCTGAGTTTCAAATTCCTAGTTTCTTATTTCTTGTTCCCAGTTACAAGTTTAGAGTTTCAAGTAGAAAATTATTATTATTTATTTGAAATGCAAACCAACTTGAAATATTTCCAGATTTAACAACTTAATAGAGACATGAATTCCAACCCATAAACTTAATTCACTTCATAGTTATATTTACTGCTAGTATAACTTGGTTTACACCCGTTTACATAAATATCTCGATACAACACGAAAACCAAAAAACATTGATCTTGATTTTTTAACCTTATCCCTGGGTAGGCTATTCAGTACAGGGCAAAGCTTAATTAATAAAAAGTTATTATGCATTTCTAATTTTTTTATTGAAATGAAAACTTTCGTGTTTTAAAATTTTTAAAAGTTTGAAACAAAAAATATCAGTTTAAAACGATTTTGTTTTAGAATGATGATTTTTCTTAGGCAAAAAATAAAGAGATAAAAAATAAGAGAGAAAAATATGATTTCGAATGAAAAAAGAAAAATAGAAGTTGTTTTCTTTTCCCTCTAAATGTTCTGATATATTTCCCAAGGGAATAGATTGAAAGAATGGTTTCCAATCTTTTAACAATGTGACCTTGTTCACAAACTATATCTTGGTTCATTCGATTCCCTTAAGTTTTCCTGTACTCTCCTCTACCCTGAGTTCTCCTGTACTCCTCTCTACCCTGAGTTCTCCTGAACTCTCCTCTACCCTGAGTTCTTCTGTACTCCTTTCTACCCTGAGTTCTCCTGTACTCCTTTCTACCCTGAATTCTCCTGTACTCTCCTCTACCCTGAGTTCTTCTGTACTCCTTTCTACCCTGAGTTCTCCTGTACTCATCTCTACCCTGAGTTCTCCTGAACTCCTTTCTGCCTTGATATCTCTTGTACTCATCTCTACCCTGAATTCTCCTGAACTCCTCTGTACCCTGAGTTCTACTATACTCCTCTCTACCCTGAGTTCTCCTGTACTCCTCTCTACCCTGAGTTCTCCTATTCTCCTCTGTACCCTGAGTTCTCCTGTACTCTCCTATACCCTGAGTTCTCCTGTACTCCTCTCTATCCGGAGTTCTCCTGTACTCCTCTCTACCCTGAGTTCTCCTGTAGTCCTCTCTACTTTGAGTTCTCCTGTACTCCGCTCTACCCTGAGTTCTCCTGTAGTCCCCTCTATTTTGAGTTCTCCTGCTCTTCTCTCTACCTTGAGTTCTCCTGGACTCCTTTCTGCCTTGATATCTCCTGTACTCCTCTCTACCCTGAGTTCTCCTGTACTCCGCTCTACCCTGTGTTCTCCTGTAGTCCAATCTATTTTGAGTTTTCCTGCTCTTCTCTCTACCCTAAGTTCTACTATACTCCTCTCTAACCTGGGTTCTCCTGAACTCCTCTCTACCCTGAGTTCTCCTGTACTCCTCTCTACCCTGAGTTCTCCTGTACTCCTCTCTACCCTGAGTTCTTCTATACTCCTCTGTACCCTGAGTTCTCCTGTACTCTCCTCTACCTTGAGTTATCCTGTACTCCTCTCTACCCGGAGTTCTCCTGTACTCTCTTCCACCCTGAGTTCTCCTGTAGTCCTCTCTACCATGAGTTCTCCTGTACTCCTCTCTACCCTGAGTTCTCCTTTACTCCTCTGTACCCTGAGTTCTCCTTTACTCCTCTGTACCCTGAGTTCTCCTGAACTCTTCTGTACCCTAAGTTCTCATTTTCTCCTCTCTACCCTGAGTTCTCCTGAACTCCTCTTTACCCTAAGTTCTCCTTTACTACTCTGTACCCTGAGTTCTCCTGTACTCCTCTGTACTCTGAGTTCTCATGTACTTCTCTCTAACACGAGTTCTCCTGTACTCTCCTCCACCCTGAGTTCTCCTGTAGTCCTCTCTAACCTGAGTTCTCCTGTACTCCTCTCTACCCGGAGTTCTCCTGTACTTCTCTCTAACACGAGTTCTCCTGTACTCTCCTCCACCCTGAGTTCTCCTGTAGTCCTCTCTAACCTGAGTTCTCCTGTACTCCTCTCTACCCGGAGTTCTCCTGTACTCTCCTCCACCTTGAGTTCTCCTGTACTCCCCTCTAACCAGAGTTCTCCTGTACTCCTCTCTACCCTGAGTTCTCCTGTGCTCCTCTCTACCCTGAGTTCTACTGAACTCCTCTCTACCCTGAGTTCTCCTGTGTTTCTTTGTACCTTGATATCTTCTCAACTCTTCTCTAATTTGATTGCTTTTGTACTCCTCTCTACTCTGAGTTTTATACAAATTCAAAATGTTTATGGAAAATTTCCTGTACTTTATTAATTAAGCTAGGAAAACAAACACTTATCTATGAAAATACATTTAGGTATAAAAACAATTCATTTTATAACAGAAACTATAAATAAGAAGAATACAAAATACATTGAGCCACGTGAAATAAAGGTTGATTTCTGCGTCATGTAAACTTTTGCCAAAAAGGAAAAAATAAAACCCTAAAACATTAGATAGTGTTAAGAATTTGCGATTAAGCAGGACAAATTTTGATAATTATTTGAAGAAACTTGCTTTATTGATGATTATGGAGATTTAGATCAGAATACTACTTCATTTTGTTACATCTTAGATGACAAAAGTAAGACGATGTTAAGGTCGTCTTTGATTATTGAAATTAATTGCGGCATTCATTCGTCCACTTATTTTTATATATGTATGATTATTATTGGAAATATTAAGAATTTCCTTTACATTTTATTTTATGAATATCTTCTGTAATATTGAAAGCACAAAAAAACCAGATTAAATGCCGCATTTTTTTCAAAGACGAACTTCAAGTCATCTTAAGCTTCATAATGTTTCGTAGGACAGGGTGTATATATGCAAAAAAGTACGAATTTTTTTCAATTTTAATTATTTATACAAGCATGATTCCCTTTCATTGTAATCTTTGTGTTTTCTTTACCAAATCTTTTTCCTTAAGATCGACCAAGGTGATCGATAGAATTATGGATTTTTAGGTTGTCGTTATTTGTCTCATCCTTGTGGGTAATCCTGCACAGGGTTGACAAACACGATGAGATTGTAAAGACGACCTGAAACTCTTGAAATATGACGATACCAAGATTTGAGTCGTCATGACCTAGAATATAGCCCTTTAATTGCGTATTTAATGATTTGCGAAAGAAAGAAACAAGTTTACTGTTGCAGGAAATCATGAATATAGGAAAACTGACAGTCTATATATCGCTCCGTCGGCTTTCAAGTCTCATCCTTTGCGTGGGTAACCCTCTCTGTACATTACAAGTTTAAGATTATCAATCAAGATAATTAGGATTTCATCAAGAATATTCTAATGAGAGAGAAACAGTCTTAGAACAATTCTAAGTTTAAATTTAAATCAAACAACAGAACGAAAACCGTTTTTTTATACCTTAGACAGATGTACAGAATATGTCTAGAAAAGTAGACTGTATTATTTATTTTCAATTTTAAAAATCAAAATATTTAATGCCTAAAAAATTTGCATTTTTTTAATTAAATATGACTGTTTAAAAATCTTTTGACGAATTTTGACCAAATTGAAAGAATAAAAGGACTAAAATCTACAATCCCTTTTTAACTGCAGATATCGTAGATTCGTAGACCTTTCAAAATTCAAACCATGAATTTGGCTAAAGGTTAGCCTAGCAAGGTTGCAAAAATATAGGGATAAGAAAATTTAGGAAGTTCCTTTACAATAAGCTCAAACAATGAAACAATATCTATCTATCTTTTAATGTATTTATTTGACCTATCTTTCTATATTAATTCTTTCCACAGGGTGTCCCAATAAACATGGGAATTCAGTGACGAATTAGATATCGTCTTTTTAAATAATTCTTTGATTTAGTACAGTGATACCTACTGAGAAATCTGTAATCTGTAAGAGTTTCGTCTGCTATGTTCACATTTTGTTTGTTTATGTTTTGACTGCATAAGGATGTACTTACTACTTAGTAAAACAAGAAAATTGCAGTATACAAACAGAGTAAACTTGTCCGTCTTCACTGTTTATCTTGCGGAGACATTATAGACACATCTTGTAGTCTTTTACCCTTTTCATAAAATAAACTCTAGCAGACATAATGGTATTATGGCTTTTGAAATTAGGTATCACAATGCTAATTCACAACAAAGACGATATCGAATTCGTCAGTGAATTCCCATATTTTTTGGGACGCCCTGTACCATACATTTGTGTATATTTAAATTTCAATTCTATACTATACTGGTTCCCTTTTATACCAGCATAATATAAAGATTAAAACCTAGAATGCCAACAAATCCAGATTTATCTTATGGATATTGGATATTCGAACCAAACCACAATAAAATTCATACACTCCCCTTTTAAATTCAACCTTAAAATACTGGATGGTTTGAATCTATGATAAGAACCAGAAAACTGACATTAACGAAATAACGAAGTTGTTACACGGCAAATAGGTATACCAGTAACTTATTTAATATTCATTTTTTTTAAAGTTGTCATTCGTACATCCATCCTTCAACGCTGATATATTTAAGATATAAAACGTTGTTTTAATGGCTTTAAGGTGACATATCAATTCTTGACTGAGTGTTTTCCAATATTACAGTATACACCAGCAAGTTTTCCAATATTACAGTATACACCAGTAAGTTTTCCAATATTACAGTATACACCAGTAAGTTTTCCAATATTACAGTATACACCAGTAAGTTTTCCAATATTACAGTATACACCAGTAAGTTTTCCAATATTACAGTATACACCAGTAAGTTTTCCAATATTACAGTATAAACAAGCAAGTTTTCCAATATTACAGTATACACCAGTAAGTTTTCCAATAGGAAGACGACACTAAAGCAATACTACATTGTACTTAATGTTGTTACCACATAAATTTCAATTTATCGGTTCCTTTATATTGTTCATATGTGTACTGCAACACTTACTGAAGCGGGTTAGAAGTCGGCCCGGTACTTGAAATGAACCGGAGTTTCCATTGGTTTCAAAACAAACAGAGGCCGAAATTAAAGAATTTATGCGTTAGCTTAAATTCAAGCCGCAGCTCAAATATGGTTGGTTCCACTTAAATCGTATTCAGCGTTTCAAGATTTAAGCCGGCGCTCAATTGAAACCCGTTTTTGGGGGATTTAAAACGCGACTCAAATTCATTAAATTCGGACTCTCCATCTTAATCTGTTTACTTTCCATGATGTTTATTGGACTATTTAAAGTCATAACTTGAGACTTAAAGTCGTCTTCCTATTCTGGGACCAGATTCAATGAACAGCAAGACGCCGAGCTGGTGGCCCGTGTCAAGCAAAGGAGAAATGGTTGAACTCGTTAGGTGGTTCAACTATACCCATTCCTTAATAAAATCTTTAAAATTGTGTACTTACTTTTATTTCCCCCCTTCTTCCCCCCCCCCCCCCCCTTTATATTGTATAATTTTCTTGTTCCGAAGCTAATTAAAGTTTTCTCATTTTACTAATTATATTATGACTTCAAACTGAATTTTCATGTTTCATTATACAGAGAACCTTATACATTGTCTGTAATATAGTTTTAGACAGACACAGGCGCAGATAGAAAAAAAAAGATTTGTTATGAAAATATTTGGGAAAAAAGTATTTTTTCATCCAAACCTGTTCGTTTCTTAACAATCGTTCAAATTGCTTAAGGAACCTTTCAGCTCCGTTCGATATTTTTCCGAACTACAAATACCGATCGATAATTGAAAAAAAAACGAGCGTTCATCGTCAATAGCGTCCAGTGCTTACAAGTTACAAGATGTCTCATTAAACATGACGATATAAAGACGACTTAGAAATTGTCTTTTTACTTTGACATCTTTCCACTGACAATAAGATTGCTTGATTGCTTTGACAAAAATATCCAATTTTAGATAATTTTAGAACATTTTCTGAAATAAAAATAAAAAAAATCTGAAGAAAAAAAACATATTTGATCTGAAATAAACTAATTTCTGATATTTAAGAAGATGTAATACCATAAACTTTTATGCATTTTTTTCCCTAGAAATCAAATAAAAAATGTCATATTTTGCAACAATGACAATAACATCTTGGAAATGAATCGACATTTTATCCAAAATTGCTTTGTATGCAGTGTGCACAAAACATTTCATTTAATAAATGTTTTTTTTTCATATATAATCTATTTATCAAATTTATAATATAGGACCAAAAGGTAAAACCATAGATAAATAAATAAACATAGATAGCTTATGTACGCAAAATCACCAAGAATTGTACAGTCCGCGAACTCATACTTCTAGACGTCAAAGTGTACTTCAATGATAAGCGGGGTGGTTTGGTGTTCTAATGGATTTCATAGAATAGAGTGTAAAATAACTCCGGGAAAGGAACTATTTGAACAACAATATTTCACTGAGCAATATATCATATTGACGAGAACTGAAGAAGGACAAGAAAAGGACTATACTAACTTAAATTTAAAAACATGGGAATTCAGTGACGACTTGGATATCGTCTTTGTTATTAATGAGCATTGTAATACCTAATTTCTATAGCCATAATATTACCATTTCTGCTAGAGTTTATTTTATGAAAGGAGTAAAAGACTGTAAAGATGTATCTATGTCTCCACAAGATGAACAGTGAAGACGGAATAGTTTACTCTATATATGTATACTGCAATTTTCTTGTTTTACTATATGTACAATCGTTTGCTGTCAAAACATAAACAAACAAAATGTGAACAAAGCAGACGAAACTCTTACGATTGCAGCTTTTTCATTAGGTATCACTATACTAAATCAAAGAATTATTTATAAAGACGATATCGAATTCGTCACTGAATTCCCATGTTTATTGGGACACCCTGTATCTAATATTTATGTAAACGAAATATTTCAAAACTGATTCTTTGGCATTTCACACAGAGTAACCCATTAGACCTATACCTGAACAAAAATGACGGATTATTCCTGTTTTTCTATCTAAAAATAAATTGAGGTTCTCAAATATAGTAAGTGAGAGAATTGGGGGTCAGTTTAAAATACGTGTACAGTCCCTTTAAACTTGTCATTTTGCAGTTCTTATCTTTCACCTCAAAATATTGCTTCATAGTTAATCGTCATCTACGATATATGCATGAAAAAACATAATGAAATATTTATACTGAGTGTCCAAAATTAACATACGATTTCAGGAAATTAATTAATTTTTGTTAAGTTTACATTTTTTCTCACATGATTATTGATTACGCTAAAATAAGTATCTAATACATGTGTATTTTTTGTAAGTATATATCTATAATTGCCAGCACGATCCAGTAATTTGTTTAAGTATATATCTATAATTGCCAGCATGATCCGGTAATTTGTTTAAGTAAATAATAAATATCTATAATTGCCAGCATGATCCGTTAATTTGTTTAAGTATATATTTATAATTGCCAGCATGATCCGTTAATTTGTTTAACCCTATTCCCGGTAGTTTTTTTTACATAACTCAAAAAGTATTGGTCTGAGGCTGTTGAAATTTTCTGACTTTTCTTACATACCCAAAGCCCTCCCTTTAGGCCTAAAACCGGGCTTTAATACTAACTGCCTGAGTCCTCAGGCACACTGCCTGAATGACTGCTTTTGCCTGTA